CCCCAAAACCCCAAAACCCCAAAACCCCAAAACCCCAAGTGTTGCTCATTTGATGATCATTTAACTTCAAAATTTAGAAATAAATTTAGATTTATAAAGATGGTTACTTACATTATTGCGAGCAAGGCTAAGAATCCATACTTGGCAGAGGTATTATATAAGTTGCTTTAAATATTTATCAGTGCGAGGCTCTTGGTGAATATTTGTAAAAGAACTGCAACGATGTGTTTGTGAAGACAGTCATTAAACATAAAAAGGAATGGGCTGAATTCCTTGATTCTGTAACTCTTGATAATAGTTATATGAAATTTACGTTTAGGTCTGCAGAACATATGGCTTTAAGAAAAGATCATGCCCTCTTGTCTACACAATAGAAGGAACATTGATTGGAGATGCTTAATAGTTTGTTGAGCATGTTAAAGATAAATACTCAAAGGCCATCGCAATTACAAAAGACACTCAAAAGAAAAGAACTCAATAAAACGTTAGCATGATTAACGAGTATATGAGGAAGAAGAAGGATGGATTGACACTTGGAGAAAAAATTGAACAGCATTTGAGAGAAATTAAAACTTCTGGTCTGGTTGATTTGATGGAGGCCTTCTTCAAATAAGAAACTGATAGAGGTACTCATTTCCAAGTTAGAAGATTGGATCTTATGCAAGATAAGAGACAACATGATGTGATCGATGAAATAGAAAGGGCTATTAGGTCTCAAAAAGAAAAGGAATAAAAAGAGGCTTCAAGAGATATGGATTACGAAGAATTCCTAGCTAAGTATATCGATCATATTGAGGGAAGAGTGGATGCAGATTAAAGATTTGGAAATAGACCTGTTACTGCTGATGATCAAAATCCAGAATCATAACCAAATCTTGCTAATGCTAAGGGTTCTGGAGCTCTACAAAATACTAGCACAAACTAATTCGAAGAAAATAAAAATGAGGAGTCTAAGATTGAAAACGCCTCAGAAAAATTAAATGATAGCTCTATCAGCAAATCCAAAGTCAAAGAGGATTAATTAAACAAGAGCAAGGATTCAATTTTGTCTAAGGATGACTATAAATATGAAATTCCATAACTTTGCCACATCACACTTATGAAAGGTAACTAGATAGAAAAACTTCATAGAAAGTACATATTAATGTCACATCCTTTCCCTAAAATTGAAGGTGAGATGATTATGTTCTTGCCCGTCAAACAAGATCAATTTGATCCATAGCTTGTAATATTCAGAGACTACTCACTTAGAAAAAGACTACCAACTAAGCCAAAACCTAAGAAGCTGAGTTCTTATCAATAGAAAAAACTTGAAACTGAGGACAAAGAATCATCTAAACTAAGTTGCTTAGAAATTGATCTCAGACAACCCTTATCATCGATTGATTGGAAAAACTTTGCTTAGGTACTAAATGAAGTGCAAGGTCTTGGATTTGTATCAATACTTCCTGTGGGAGAGAAATCATCTTAACCTGTCTAAAATCAACTTATTCATATACTTCCAAACTCTAAGATTCCTTTCCAAAGTCTCCCTCTAGATTTGTTGATCACATCCAAAGTCTAATATGTCAAGTTGTAGTAGGAACAAGCTCTTGAGGAAGCAAGACATAACGGAGGCTAAGTAAAAAGCCCTTAAAAGCACTCAAAGGATAAAGATTCTAAGAAAAACGAGATTCTGAACATTATTACAGTTGATGAGTATAGATTCCCTCATGCAGTCTATATCTTCGAGACTAGTTCCTTAAAAGAAGATCATCTTATCAATGGTTACAATAAGATTCATCAATTTTTACAATTAGATGATCATCCAGGTACTTAATATTTTCAACTTTCTTTTTCTAACTCTTTCATGTAGAATCAGGATTAACCATAATTGCAACTCCTAATTGGATGTTTGTTACCACAATAACTGGTCCCTACACCAAACATACAATTTATGCTCCAGATCAAAGAGTAGTACCTGTCTACGCAGACCCATATGCTTACTGCGGAATCTTAAACATTCAAAACACTCAAAAAGAGTGGCCTGCAACTGCTGGCTTGTCAGATGATACTCTCAGCCCCTATGAAGTTTTAGAAAGAAGTTCTTAGTATGGAAGACCAGAGCATGAAGAAATTCTTAGTGCAATCCCCAAAAATGAATGAATAGCTGATTAACTTTAATAATTTCTAAAAAGTAGAAAAAATTATTTACGAAAATATTGATTTTAGATTTACTACTATAATAATTATCAGTTATTAGCTTAATTTAATTCTTAAATGTCATAAAAGAAATAATCATTTGTAAAGCGAGATGAGAACATAGATTTGGAGCGAAAGAAGGCTTCTCAAATCTTGCACTATCTTATGGAGAGGAAATAAGAATCAGAATTTAGAGATCCTTTTGACTTGCTTAGGAATATGTAGGATGTGATTCAAATATATGAACCTCTAAAGTCTAATGACATAATTTAAGATCAAAGAAGCTTAACAGTAGATGAAACTACAAGTTCCAAAATTAATTCAGCAAGATAGAACATTAAGAGTAAGGTTAATACACAATATCATTTCTACCCCTAAAATTAATAAGAGAATATGTCAGCTTCTAAACTGAGAAAAACAATGCTGCGCAAGCATTATCTGAACTAGAGTCAAGATAATAATCAATTTAATTAACAAACTGAGTACTCTCAGTTACCTGAGGCCAATGTTCAACTTCCCTCAATTATGAAAAAATAAAGAACTTTTGATTAGAAGAAGCTTATTCATCCATAATCAGGGAAGAGGTCAACAAAAACCTTTTTGAGTAAGCATGAAGAAAAAGTATTGGACTTGAGTAATGTGGCTGATGCTATTATGGCAGCTTAAGATCCAAATAATTTAGAATTAAAATATCAAAAGATTAAAAAAATCAAAGAAGAATTCAATGATATCAAGACATAGTTTGGTATACCAACTCCATAATACTTTAATCCTTCATAAACTTCATAATTGAGCTACATGGGCTCAAGAAGGAATGAACTGAGATCTAGAGGGTAGAACTCAACTACAGCTGCTTCTTCGATTCCAGCTTAATCATAGTAAAGAACTGAGAAAAGAGATTCATTTCAAGAATAACCCAAAAATTTTATTATAAGAAATAGAGTAATGACTTCTCAAAATGTATTTAGACCTGCCAGATTATAGAACACTTAACTTCCTCCGAAGGATAAGACTATTATGACTTCTCCACATTCGAGGTCCGAGCTTAGAATCACAAAGTTTGCGTATGGGAGTGCAAAGAAAGAACCACAAAGCACAAAATATAACTTGAATTAAGCTGTTGAAACAGAAATTACTTTTAATAATCACAAATAAGATAGCTCAAGACAAGCTCTAGACAAGGAAAAATTACAAAATGAAATAGGATAGGGTGGAATCAAATAGTAAAATCAAAGTTTAAAGGAAATCGATAGGAATATAAGAATCAAACGCAGAAAGCTGAGTATTAGTTAGAATCAGAATAAGGATTATAACTATAAGATAGATGGTTCCCTTTGTATTAGCCATGAGGGTAAGCTAAGCAATTTAAATAAGATATCAGGTATCTTTGGACCAATAAATAATAGTCATGGTAAGTCTAAAGGAGCCAATGAAAATAAGATCGGCTCAGCTACTAGTGGGTACAGTGGGCTGAAATAATACCAAATTTAGAAAGTTAATTCAGAAGCCCTTGAGAAGTTTAGTAGACTTTAAACGAAAGAAAGCATTTATAAACCTGTTTACATTTAAAACAAAAGTAAAAATAGATCACCTTAGAAGATATTTGACTATTCAGCTAATAGTTAGATATCATAACAAGTAGAAGCAAGATCTAGAACTAAAAATATGGCTTGCGATCTTGAAATATAGAAAATGGATTTACCTTATAGCAAAAGAAATGATTAGTTAGATGTTCAATTAATATCTTCAAGAAGTTTCTAACAACCAAAATCATAATTCGAGACGGAGGGCTAAAAATTTTCTACAATAGGACCTAGTATTGAAGCTGATAAGCAAACAAGAAATTTAGAAGCTATTTAAGAAGAAGAGACTAATCTCCTGAGGCTAAATATTAATCATCAAGCCAAAGTTCATTAAACTTAATTTGATTTTCACAAAACCTAGATTAAGAATGAATAAAAAAATGATGTGAAAAATAAAACTTCTGGAGGACCTTTATTTGAACAGTACAAATAGAATTAATAATAATAAATTTAATTGCTATCAAAGAAAAAGAAAAAGGACTAGAAAAAATAAGGCAAGAAATAAGTAAAATTAACATTTGAAAGCGTCTATATGAGAGAAGCTATATTAGCTTTGATCCATTCATAGTCAAATTAAGTAAATCCCCTAAAAGTAAAGTAATATGCTGCGCTAGGTAAGAAACGAAAAAGTACGAATTCAAGTCAAATTCGAACAAAATCTTCAGTGCTTCGCAGATAGAAAGATATCAACACTACAGTAATAGAGGGATAATAAAACTCACTGCTTAATGATGAAACTTTTCCTGATCTTTACATTCAACAGTATGGAGGTTAGTAGATAAATTCAGGTGAACTCATAATAAACGACCAAAGAATTTTGTCTCATAATTAGTTACTTGAAAATAGAGATTCTTATGAATTTCAAAATACTGAAAACTCAGTTATTCTTTTAAATGAACCTACTGAGGAGAATTTATTTAATATTCCTGATTTCTGTGAGCAAATCAATGATTTATGAGTAAAATTACTCATGATGTATTTATACTTTCATAGTTGCTAACCTTCAGCTAATTCACACTATATACTAACCTATTTATACTTTAATTAAAAAGGAATTAACAATTTCTAATATTTACTTCTTTTAATAAATTTCTAAATCTATTCTTATGGGGTTTTGGGGTTTTGGGGAGATCGGAA